GCAGCCCGAGCCCAGCCCAGCCCAGCCCAGCCCAGGGCAGCCCGAGCCCAGCCCAGCCCAGCCCAGCCCAGGGCAGCCCGAGCCCAGCCCAGGGCAGCCCGAGCCCAGCCCAGCCCAGCCCAGCCCAGGGCAGCCCGAGCCCAGCCCAGGGCAGCCCGAGCCCAGCCCAGCCCAGCCCAGCCCAGGGCAGCCCGAGCCCAGCCCAGCCCAGCCCAGCCCAGGGCAGCCCGAGCCCAGCCCAGCCCAGCCCAGCCCAGGGCAGCCCGAGCCCAGCCCAGCCCAGCCCGCCCCTCAGGGCCGCCCCGCCCCCCCCCGCTCGCCCCCCTCCCGCGGCTCCTCCGGCCGCCAGGCGGCGCCGCAGCGCACGGCGGGCGGAGCGGCGATGGCGCTGCCCGGGGAGCTGTGGGCAGAGCTGCCGGCCGAGCGCCGCATCTTCTGCTCCGTGCTGCTCTTCTCTTGGGCCGTCTACCTTTGGGAGGCCTTCCTGGCTCACCGGCAGGTCGGCAGGGCTCCGGTGGGGATGGGAGCCGGCGGGCCGGGGCCGGGCCGGGGCCGGGGCCGGGCCGGGGCCGGGGCCGGGCCGGACCCGGCCCAGCCTCACGTGGCGGGGGCCGGGGCTGGGGCCGAGCGACGCGAGGCCTGTCGCCTGCCTGGGGAGGGCTCGGCCCTGTCCCGGGGTGCGGCCTCAGCGGGTGGTGGGGATGCTCACAACGATGAGTTGTGTGAGTGCGGTGGGGTCACTGGCGGCCCAGCACCCCCAGAAGCTCGATTCTCCTCCCCGGGACAGCTGAGAGAGCGGGAAGAGCAAAAATGAGGAAACGCATGGGTTGAAGTAGCGACAGGTGAAGGACAGAGCGGGGGGAACCCCGCAAGCGCTGCACAGGCCGTCGCTCGCCACCTCCAGGAGAAGGCGATGCCTGGGCGGCCTCCGAGTGATATCCACCGTGGAAGGCACGTCCCACACCCCTTTTCGTATGGCAGAGTATATTATTATACAACACGGAGTGTCCCTTCTGTCAGGTCTTGGCTGTCTCCTGCCAGCAGGTTCTCCACCCCCATCCTGCCCGTGGGGCAGAGCAGGGTCAGCCCTGGCAGGTTCAGCAGCAGCCGCACAGCGGGATGTCTCCCGCGCACCTGTTCGTGCCAGGCCCGGGTGGGCAGCGCTGCAGAGGACAGGGAGCGGTGCTGCCAGCTCCTGTGAGCCCTGTGATCGGGGACACTGCAGACTGGTGCCCCGGGCAGAGGGAGAATGTGTTTTGAAGTGACAGAGAGTACCCTTTGAGAAGGGGTAAGTATACTGAAACAAGATAAGGCATCAGAGGGAAAAGACTTTTATTCTTTAAAAATTTTCAAGTGGCAAGTTCTGTACTGAGAATGAAATAGCACCTCGTTTGTGCAGCCACGCTCTAGATCTGGTGTTCTGGTGAAGTCTCATGGTTTGCATTGGAGGACCTGGTGTTTGGTTTCAAATTCTGCTTAGTAAGTCACATCCTGTGGAAAAATCAGTTTGTGTGATCTGTATTTGAACTATTCTAAATAAGTTAATAAGTCAGCAACTCAGTTCCTGGTTGTAACGTTAATAATTATGCTTCAGTTTTGTATTTGGAACTTGGTAGAAAACAGGCATTTAGGAATATTTGTTGCTTTATGTGTTGGTTGTTTTTTTGTTTTTTTTAAAACTTTCCGTGGTGGCCCATTGGATCATGTTAGCTGTTACTTTTAAATCTTGTCTCCTTAAAAATATTAGATGTAGACTTTAGTTTCTTTGATTTTTCAGAGACGGGTGTATAGAACAACAACACATGTACCACAAGAATTGGGACAGATCATGGATTCAGAAACATTTGAAAAATCTCGTCTCTATCAGCTGGACAAAAGTACTTTCAGCTTTTGGTCAGGCCTCTATTCAGAGATTGAGGGCACTGTAAGTACCTTGCATATGATATTTTTCATGTACTTGAACTGTGAAACACTTTGGTTCTTAATGATCCCGTGTAGCTGCACCATTGGCATTCTGGCATCTTATGGCAAACACTGACATTTTTGTGTTCCTTATTTGTGGCTGTATTTGCTATATAAGAAATAATTATTCAGACAGCACGTAATTTCTCTCTGCAGTGCTGAGTCATATTGCACAACTACAACATTACCTTACATTTTATTATTTTATTATATGTAATATATTATGGTTTCCATTGCCAAATAATGAAGCAGCATGAGAGCTATTTTAAATTGTTAAAATGCAAAAATGTGTTTGGAAGGATGCAAGTACTTTCATTTTTAGATAAAATTTAAGTAGAAGATAAAAAGAGAAGCTTGTGAGAACAAGGAGAGTACCAATTGATACTTCTGAAATATAAGAATTACATTAGGCAAGTAACGTTCACATGTATGAAAAAACCAGAACCACTGAGTTAGAAGTCTCTAAGACTCTTAAGACTGTTTGAAAATCGCATACATATATACTTTGTTCCAACTCGCTGCTGAAATACATTGCTCATCAGTAGCACAACTGGGTCAAAAAGGAATCCTGAAGTGCTTGGCATTGCCAAGTAAAATTGAAGTATGATCCTATTTCATGATAAACTTAAGGAAGCAAAAACGACAGTCATAAAAGCTAATGAAAATAGGATTGTAAAATAGTCAGTCATGTAACTGTAGAATGATGATGCAAACCCAGTACTTAAGACTTGTGACACCTCTTACCTTCCACATTTCCTGATCTCCTTTGTGCAGCCCAACCTGTACTTTGTTTCCTTTTGTATGTACTTGTAAGGATGTACAAGTCTGTGCAGTCTGTTATTTTCTTTTTGTTGGGATTTTTTGTATGCTGAGTAAAACTTGAGGCAATTCTTATGTGAGTTTGAAAAGCTTCTGTGTTTCTGAGCAACTTTAGAGGCAGTGTTTAATTTGTAAATCGAAGCTGCTCTCCAGCAGTGGTTTGGTGGGCACGGTAAGGTGGCACCACTTAGCAAATGCAATGAGTCAAAAAGTTCTAAAGCTTTATCTTGATTTCAAGAGCTCTAGCCAAAATAGGTTCCCCTGTTGTTTTTAAGGGAAATATACATGATTGAAATGCAATTCTTTTTCCACTGAATTTAGTGCCCTGCTATTCAAAGAGCCAAGTCTGCAGTCTGTGCTTATCTTCATCCAGGCCTATTGTTATGGTCCTCCACAATGTTGTAGCCACTAAATTGGATTTGCCCGATGGACTATTAGATGAATAAAGAACTGGCTGGATGGCTGCATCCAAAGAGATAAAGCTCAGTTTCCAAGTGAAAACCAGTGGTGGTTCTCGAGGGTCCATACTAGGGTGAATGCTGTATATCTGCAGTGGGACTGAGCACACCAGCGGCAGGTTTGCAGCTAACACCAGGGTCAGCAGGGCGGCTGATGGGCAGGAGGGATGGATGCTGTCCAGGATGACCTTGACAGGCTGGAAGAGGGGGACTGTACAAACCTCATGTAGTTCAGCGAGGCCAAGTGCGAGCACAGACTGGGGGATGAGTGGATTGAGAGCAGCCCTGTGGACAGGGACTTCAGGGTCCTGGTGGACGAAAAACTGGACTTGAGCTGGCAACGTGTAATTGCAGCTCAGGGAGCCAACTGTGTCCTGTGCTGATCCACAGCAGTGTGGGTAACAGGGTGATTCTGCCCCTCTGCTCTGCTCAGGTGAGATCCCATCTGCAGTGCTGCCTCCTGCTCTGGGGTCTCCAGTGCATGAAAGACACAGATCTGCCAGAGTGGGTCCAGAGGAGGCCACAGAAATGGCCAGAGGGCTGGAGCACCTCTCCTTCAAAGACAAGCTAAAGACAGTTGGGGTTGCTGGGAGCTGGTGGTAACCCACAGAAGGCTGGCTCCTTGGTCATCAAAACTTTATGCCATTTGTACATATTGGGAAACAAAATGGAAGTTTGTTGGCTACAAGTTACATAGTTCTTCTATTAGTTAGTATTCTACTTTCTGTTGGTTAAAGTATTCTCATGCTAATTCTCAGTCTTTCTCTTCTTTTGAGTCGGGTTTCTTGGGTCAGTGGTCCATGAAGAAGCTGTGGCTGCCCCATCCCTGAAAGTGTTCAAGGCCAGGTTGGAGGGGGCTTGGAGCAACCTAGTCCAGTGGAAGGTGTCCCTGCCTATGGGATGTCCCTGCCTTGGAATGAGATCACTTCCCACCCAAACCCTGTGATCTTCCCACACAGACCCTGTGATCTTTAAAGGTCCCTTTCGACCCAAACCATTCTGTGATTGTGCTTGCCTGTGTAGGAAAAGCACAGCTTTTGCTTTCTCTCTTGACTTTTCTTTCTGTTCTGTCCCTGTTTCTGTAATAACAGGTCTACAATGATTTTGGTAGCTGATTGATTTGTTAAGGAAATTAGTGCATCCAGCTGTCTTCCACACCTGAGCCACAAAATCCAGACTATGCTGGTGCTTTCTAAGCAGCAGCCAAAGCCAGTTACTAAGTCAACAAGCATCTTAGTGTGTATGTTGTTCTACTGTTTCAGCTGTGATGGTGATAGACAGCTGGAAAATAGGTATGTCTCAAACTGCTGCTGCCATTATTGAATTGATTGTGTCATAGTGATGCTGATGTTCAAAAGCCAAGGAAAAAAACATGGAATATGTGAGTTAAAGCTCCCAGCTAATTGAACACTGACCTGAATGAACAGTTTTTGAAACAGTTTTCAGCTCCCAGGTCCTGCCCTTGGGTCACAACAGCCCCAAGCAGTGCTCCAGGCTGGGGGCAGAGTGTCTGGAAAGCTGCCCTTTGGGAAAGGACCTGGGGGTGCTGGTCAACAGCAGCTGAACAAGAGCCGGTGTTCTTCTCCCAGGACTGACTGGACCAGAGGAAATGGCCTTAAGTTGTGACAGGAGAGGTTTAGATTGGATATTGTATTTCTTATACTGGATATTATATATATTGGGTATTGTATTTCTTCACTAAAAGGGTGGTCAAACATTGGAACAGAGAACAAGAGGAAACAGCCTCAAGTTAAACCCCCTCCAGGGCAGGTTTATCTGGGATAAAAGATTTCTCCATGGAAAGGGTTTTCAAGCCCTGGCACAGTCTGCCCAGGGCAGAAGTGGAGTCACTATCCCTGGAGGGATGTGTGAATGTGGGACTTGGGGACATGAGTTAGTGGTGGGCTTGGCAGTGCTGGGTAACAGCTGGACTCAATGATCTTAGAGGGCTTTTCCATGGATAGCCCTCGTGTAGGCTATATGCAGCTTCTTCTCTACATGTCTATAATGGTGAGTTGTTGCTCCTTCTGCGATGCTGAGCTGTGTCTTTCTGTTTCTCAGAAACTGTGTCCTGGGATTATCACATTCCAGTTCAAGTGAGGTGGCCTTTACTGTCCAGGTTTGCCACTTTCTTCAAGCTTAAACTACATCCTTTATTGGCTTTTGGAACTGCCTGAACTTAAAAGAGGCTGTTGTGACCAAAGCTGATGAAACTGGATGTCAGTTTTTGCAAGCTTTTGCCTTTAATAGGTTGAAGTATGGTTCATTAACCCAGCAAGTTAACTGAAGGGGAGATGCTGTGTTAGAATTACTAGTATGCTTTATTTCAGCCAGATATTCCAGGCTTGCTTTATCACTGTTAAGATCAGAGGGAGACAAAAAGCCTAATTATAAAATTTGTCTTATTCACCCTTAAAAGATCCTTATCATGCTGAAATTTTAGTAGATTAAGATGACAGTCTGTTTCATACTGTATCTTTGCTATGTGGTTTTGTTTTCAAGATGATTCTCCTCTGTGGAGGAATTCCTTTTCTCTGGAAACTGTCTGGTCAGATCTCTGGTCATGCTGGATTTGGACAAGAATATGAGGTAAGCAGGCTTTATATTTCTGTGAGAACATTTGTTCCATGCTGCAGTAATAATTTTTATTTCAAAGTTGGCATTTAGTTAAAAGTGCACACAATGATGTTGTGAGTCTGAAAACTGGTAACAGTATATGACTTTTAAATTAGCTTACTAATTAAAATAGCCTTGTATATTAAAAACCTACAAGTCTTGTAGCTACTTGAGTCAAACCATGTGGTGGGTCAGGCTTTTGTGTGCTCTTTATTTGGGTGTTGTCTTTTTACTAATCCTAGATTTGATTTCCCTGCACAGTAAAAGGGTAAGAAATTTGAGGTTACTGCTTATGTTGTCTTTGTGCTGTGGATGAGGCATGTATCCAAATTTGTGTCCCAAATCCTTAGTAAGCTATTCCAGGGAGCAGTAATGTAATCATCACAAAATATGTTTGTGAATTTATCTAGCTTCATCTTCTAACCGGTTTCAGTTAAACCACTGACCTAAAATCCATTTTTAACACCCAGAATATTTATGTTATGGGTCAGTAAATATCAGGTGGGTTTGTTTGTTTTTTTTGTTTTAGATTGTTCAGTCATTGGTATTTCTGCTGCTTGCAACACTCTTCAGTGCCGTGACTGGTCTCCCGTGGAGTTTATATAATACATTTGTCATAGAAGAGAAACATGGCTTCAATCAACAGGTATTGCAGAGAGCACTTGTACTGACCCAGTGGCTTCAGGTTGGTTAGATGGACTGGTCTGTCAATATCTGTGCCGAAGATCGTTGGTTTTAGGAACATTTCTTCTACTTATACTGCATAAAAATCAGAGCAATGACAGTTTGTGGCTGTTGCAGGAGTGCCCATGCTGCAGCACCTCTGTGAGCCTGTGCCTCTGAGTGTGTGTTCTTGGAGGTGGGACAAAGAATGTTTCATACCTCACCCATTCAGTTTTGGATGGACTGTTCTTTGCCCTTCATATGCCCACCCTTAGAAGTCTGGATCACTGCTTAGTAGGGTCAGTCTTGATTTATGGACACTGACCAGGTGAAAGAAAACTGAGGAATTATTCTCCTCCTCATTTTGTTTCACCTGCTGATTTCTTATATCAGCCTTTACTAAACTGGAGAATTCAGCTCTTCATTTGGTACCTCTGGCTTTCTTAATTTCTTTCAACAACTTGGTTTAACCTCTGTCAGTATCAGTTTCTTGTGAGATCAGATATTCTTTCTGGGAGAAGAACCTCAATCTGGGACACATCATTAGTCATTTCATGCCAGAGCATAAGATACGCTTTCTGCTTTGGACCGAGCTGGTCTTGTCTACATTACTTTCTGTTCCAAGTCTCCTAGGAAGTTGTTGGTTGGTTGGGGGTTTTTTTGCAGTAGAATGAAATTTGGATGGGTAACAGATGTGGGATAAATCAGTTTGGCTCATTTTAATATCAGTAGATATGCTCTGGTATTTGCCAATTTCATCTTCCAGTCTCTGTGGAGGCAGGAAGACTGAGCAAGGTAAGACCTAAAGAAGTGAAATTAGTTTGTTTCTAAACTCTTATGTTCCTGGTAAATTGATGAATTGATGTTTCATATTCTTTTTTATAAACAACCAAGAAAAAAAATGATAAAAAAGCTCTAAATGCAGTGATCAGTTTGCACCCTTTAAAACAGAAATGTGTATGTCCTGAGACATCCAGTATTATTTTGGTTCACATCAATTATTTAGTGGCATACTGTTAAGTAGGGAAGCCCAACTGTGAAAATTCTCACTGCACAATTTTATGTGTGTATTCCCAGAAAACAACAAGGCTGGTTTGGCCACGTGTCTGCCCCACCTGCGATGTTTGAATACTGAGCCAATGGCAGATGCTACTCCGGGCTTTGGGAAGCAAATCTGAAGATTGTTCTAATTAGTCATAAACCTTGAGCTCGTGACAAACTCAGAACTCTTTTATACTCCATTTAGCACTCTAGTCTTTTGAAAAAGTCTTGTGCTTCTAAAAACCCACGTGTTAACTTTTTTCTCTTACCAGTGAGGAAATGGTCGCTGTCAGAATGAGGGTGTCCATGGCCATTCATGTCCCAGGTGGTTCTGAGGCAGAGTCCTGGGGATCCCCTTCTCTTCTGCAGACTTAACAGTGAGCACACTGGCAGGCTAACATCCACTCCTAGCAAGGGAGGAAGGAATGTTCCCATGCTTCCAGAGCATGAGTCAACCAATCTTTTCTTCAGGGGAAATATCTGTTTAATGTATTTGGATTATTCTCCAGCTATCACTTAAGTTCTGCAGTCCTCAAAGATTGTAAGGTCTGGCAAAGTCCTTGTTCTTGCTTCTGACCTAGCTTAGACATCCTTTTGACATTCAGAATCCTTAAACACATCAAAAGCCATCTCTCACTCTTGTCTCTCACGTCAATCCTGAGTAGTCAGGCCTGCAGCTCGGTTGCTTCTCATACCTTAGTGAGGAATAAGTTCCATCTTGGTGCAGGATCTGCAAGCCCTTTATGTTCAGCCAGTCCAGAGACTGGCAGTAGAATTAGAGCCAATCGGCAGACTAGCTGATTGATGGAGAGCTTAACTTGATCAAGTCCTACCTCTGTGCAGGAGAGGGCCAAATACTGCACTTAACAGCTTGGACTTCTTTTAAAAGAACCTTGAGAGCCTGCAGAATTCATGTTTTTTGTGTGCTTTAGGGAGGGTAAGCAGTATTCTGGGTGTATCTCTGAGCATTTTCTTCTTGGAGCACACAGTCTGTGTACTTCACTGTTGTCAGTGCAAACACTGCCTAATGAAATGAGAAGATTTGGCACTGACTGTGGAGATTAAGTGCTTGACTGAGCTACCTGCATGATATCTTTTACAAGGGTTTTTTCACAGCAGTGGTGTGGGGTTACGAGTGAGTTAATACGGGCTGCTTGTTGTGTAATGGTCGCGGTGTACGCTGGGAGTGGAAGTTCTGATGGAAGCCTGCGAAAAAATGACCAATTAGAAGTGTCCTGGGAAGAAACTTTAAAGGGATTGAACAGGACTGCACTGCCCCCCCCATGTTTTGTTACCACACCTTTTTGGAATATAAGAACTTGTTCAGCCATTAATAAAGGATCCTCCATTTTCCATCATCCCAGGAGGGTCTCGTTTATATTCACTGCCACAGATGGCGCCTGAACACGGGCAATTCAAAAGGGATATCAGAAACCAAGCGTTTAGAACCTCTTGGGATATCTGACCTGTGGTAGCCTCTGGCCCATGAAAAGGACAAAGGGAGCTCTGAAAGCATAAGGAACTGCGGACTACAGCACCTCAAGTCTGAGACAACGTAAAACTACTACGGCACCGAAAAGAGAGGAGCTGAGACGCTCAGGGCTTCCCCGAACTGGACCGGGACGGCCAATGGAACGCAGAGGAGGGCTTCACACACACACACACACCCCCGCTGTTAAGCAGAGCACAGGAGCTCTGCAAGGGGGCTTGAATCCCCTGAAGATAAGGACCATCACGAAGGCTTCTGCACTTCGTTGATATGACGTGGTGAAGTGACCTTTGTCCTGGTGAACACAGCCCACAGAAGAGAAGACCCTCGCTTGGAGTCGAAGGGCTGAGGGGCTTGGATACCCCCCTCGTGTGTACTGGCAGAGATCCAGCTACAGCTTCTGCATGAAAGAAGAGAGCCTGCTGCCCTAGAGACACTGCTGCTCTGAGAGTGGAAAGGATCTCTTCCTTCTTCCCTCCTGAACTTTTATTTGGAAGGAGGAGAGATTTGATCCATTGTAAATACTGTTTTATCATGGTAGAGATAGTTGAGATTGTATATGATGTATTATAATATTTATTTGTATCTGTACAGTCATTGTAATATATAATCCCTTCCCCCCATTTTGAGTCTTGTGTGGTGTCTGGAAAACCCATCTCACACTGGGCTGAGATGAGGGAGGGGGGCTTGGACTAGGGAATTGGATTTTGGGGCTCTCAAACCATGACACCCGGGAAGAAGCTTTAAAGTGATTGGGCAGGACTGCGCTGGCCCACCCACGTTTTGTTACTGCGCTTTTTTGGAATATAAGAACTTGTTCAGCCATTAATAAAGGAACCTCCATTTTCCATCATCCCAGGAGAGTCTCGTTTATATTCACTGCCACACAGTGGTCCTCATGCTGAGAGCTGAAGGCTCAGTCCAGGTCCAGTTCAGTCTGAGGTACCAAATGTCTTACAGTCAAATTTCTGTCTCTCATTTTAGACTGAAGGGCTGGTCCTTGGTGAATGAGCCAAATTCACACCCGGTACCAGCCCAGACTTGGGAATTTCTAGCATTTCTAGCATGATAATTGACTGATCTTCAGATAGACTCCTTCTCTAGGAATGGCTTGCTGAAAATGAGGATTTTTCTCAAGGTCATATTTGCCTTAGAAAGCAGGAAATATACTGGGCAAAGATGAAAGACACCATGCAATTTTCTAGTTCTACTCCTCCAAGACTGTGGAGCTGGAAGTAAAGAAAGATTTAAAATGCAAATATGAGCTAAATGGGTTGTAGTTGACCTGTTTTTATTTGCAGACAAATTCTTTAAAATAGTATATGCTTTCAGTATGGCCTTGTTGGAAAGATCTTTACATATTAAACTTCTAGAGTTAGATGTGTGTCTGATCATGTTGCAGAGTATCAAATTTATTCAGGTAGAGGTCTTTGAAATTTCTATTGCTTCTATTAAAGTTATGCTAATTTTAAAACCCAAGACAGCTACTTGAGTAGTAACTCCATGTCAGTGGAAGCTTGGAGTAAAATGCCCAGTGTATTGCTGAAAATCTGTAATAGGGTTTCTATATATTTTCACTTAATTAGCATAGTGGTAACTGAAAGTTAAGACGAATGGAGGCAACTGTTAAGTGGAAGACAAAACATTTTACAGTAGCTGTGTTTCTTTGAGTATTTCTTATTCTCTAAGAATGTCTTGATGTCTGGGGTATAGACTGGTAAAGATAAGCTTAAATTTTTCTTTTCTCCTTTAATGAATGTGCAACAAAAAATAAGGGTTTGGGTCAGACTAAAGAAGAAAGCATCTGCATGGCTCGCGTCCGTGCGTGTGTAAGGAGCTACTAGCAGAGGAGTTGAAAATGTTCTTCCACCTTTTCTGACTGACTCTCATTTCCTTACCACACTGGCGTCGCTGTTTTCCCATTTGTCTTATCTGAAGGGATCAGTTCATTAACCGCAGTGGCACATTAATATTTGCATTGACATATCACTGATATTCTTTATCCTTTCTTTTCAGACGCTGGGATTTTTTTTTAAGGATGCTATCAAGAAGTTTGTTGTGACTCAGTGTATTCTGTTGCCAGTGACATCTCTTCTGCTTTACATTATTAAAATAGGAGGAGACTACTTCTTCATCTATGCCTGGCTCTTCACCTTAGTTGTTTCCTTGGTGAGTATATGTTTGGGTTTCTTCCAAACACCAGCTTATTTGCATGGCTCAGCACACTGAGTACAGCTGAAAGGAAATGGAGAAAAATCTAAATCTCATGTGAATTTTAGTGTCTACAAACTTTAACAGAGTGTCTTGCTCTCAGTGTACTTGTTCAGAAATAACAGCTCATATTAATTGTCCACGTTAATGTGATATCTTTTATCTGTTCAATACTGGAGTGTCTTCATCAGTTGAAAAACAAGCATTGAAAAAGCTTTAGAATAGGTAGTGGAAATACAGCACTATGTGGTGATGGGTTTTTCTTAAATATAGAAAGGGCACAGGGACAACTGCTGGCAGTTTGGCAAGACAAAGCAGATCATGCTTTGGTCAGTTGTATTTGCATCAGGCATTTCTCTTAGGTTATTGCACACAGCCCTCAGTGCATTGCTGGTATCAAGGCGAGTAGCAATGTTCCATTCCTGGTTCTGCTTGTATAGCTGCTTTCGCACTGAATTGTAACTGATGTTTTTAGGGTTTATATAAAAGGATCTTTTTATATACATCATAAGCATTTGATACTTTGTGTTGTTACTCCAGGGTCTGAAGGCTGTATTTTTTGTCTCTTTCAGCATAGTGCTCTACTGTCTTTTTGCTCAATATACAAACCATTGCTCACCCAAGGCAGAAATTACACAAGTACTGTTGTATATAATCATTCATTTTTAGATTAGAAAAGCACCTTAACAATTGAAAGAATCACTACATTACGGTGATGTAATAAAGGCTGCCTTATTAGCCTAACAGTAAGTATGGGTCAACCAAGCCCTAATTTTCATCTCAAGTTCAGACTTCCAGGTTGAAGTGGAGGGCACTATCAAGAAAACTTTTAGGAATACTTGGGTAGGAATTGTGATTGTTTTCTTTCTTAAGCTTCTCTAGTCCAGGTGCCCTTATGCTCTGACATCTTCCCTTTTTTTGTCACTGAACATATTCTGAAAAATCATAATGTTAGATGTCAAAAATGCCAGGTCATTTGTATTGAAATGGCTGTTACAGAAAGATATGTGCAGACAACAGTTCTCAAAGACTTGTTCTTTTTCTTGCACGTTTTGATCAGCAGCATACTCTTAAATCCTAACTCAGCATTTGAGTTACTTCTCTGTCAATTTGCATGAAGTAGTCCATACTTGCAGACTTCTCTAGTGAAGCCTTATTATTTGCAAAATTGGATATTAGTTCTTTATGTGATATCCAGTTCATATGTGAAGTGTTTAGTCTTTAAAGCTTTAAAGACTTGCTTTTTCATAGAAGGATTAAGTTGAAGTTTTAAAATAAGTCATAGTTTCAGGATGAAAGATAGAGGATTTTCTGAAATGACCTGCCTTCATTTGTACACTGAAAGATTTTTTCTTTAACCTCCTTTATACCTGTCGTTGACTGTATTTATTCTTGCCATCTTTTCAGTAAAATACAGATGGTAAAAAATGTTGTATGAGCTCATATGAGAAATTTTCTGAATGCCCCTTTTATAGTCTTTATTGAGCAGGTTTATGTCATGGGTTGACCTTGGTCAGATTCTAGGCACCCACTAAAGTTGCTCTGAGCTGGGAGAGGTCACACAGGCAAAACAGACTCAATGTGGGGTTAATACTAAAATTTATTACTAACAGGATAAGATCTAAAGAGTGAGAAATAAAACAGTCTTAAACACACTTTCCACCCACCCCTCCTTTCTTCCATGTTCTCCCTCCTCCCCCCTCAGCAGTGCAGGGGGACAAGTCCATCCCTCAGGCAACAGGTCTTCCAGATCTGCTGTCCCATAGGTCACCCTTCCATGGGCTGCAGGGGGACAGCCTGCTTCACCATGGTCCTCACCATGGGTTACGGGGGGGCCACAGCTCTGAGTCCTTCCCCTGCTCCGTGGGGCCCCTTCCACGGGTAACAGTCCTTGATGGGCCTCTCCAACGTGGGTCCACCCCCCAGGCAGTAGTTCTTCCATATCTACTGTCCTGAGGGTCACTTCTCCATCCTTCCTAGGATGCAGTCCTTCATAGGGTGAGCTGTACCGATGTGGATCCCCCACAGGGCCATGAGTCCTACCCGGGAATAATCTGCTCTGGCATGGATTTTCCTCTCCACAGGCCACAAGTCTCTTGAAGGACTCTGCTCCATCCTGGGCCTTCCGCAGGGGGTAATGGCCTTCTTCCATGCATCCTTCTGCTCCAGCATGGGCTTGGCTGCACCGTGGCAGGCCACCCTGGCCCGGCTTGACTCAGCCAGGGGAAAGGGAGGGTAGTGCCTGCCGGCAGGGGCCACTCTGCTGCCCTGGCCTAGCCTGCAAGGCAACACCCTCCACCACCACCCCCGCAGTGAGGGAGGTGGTGGGGCCGCCCGGGAGCTTCGGTCAGCTCTCCCCTGGCTGGAAAAAATTCTTCTGCCCAACAAACTTGTTCTTAAATATGTTATAGCAGGAAGTCCCTCCTGTAGCCAGCTATCATTGGCTTCACTGGGGGGGAAACTTCTGGCAGCTTCTAACCAAAGCCCCCTATGTAGCCCCCCTTGCTACCAAAAAACCCAGCCACCTCAACCCACGACAGTTTACTAGAAAGAAGAGGTGTAGGTGAGTAGTACCAAGCACTAAATTTCAAGGTGAGAACCAGAACATACTCAGCTGATGCCATATTTCTTTCTCTCACTTTCATATCACAAACTAGTACTTTATTTTTGAGCTGCCTGTGCCTTCCCATTGAGATATCAGTGTAGATTTTGTCTTGAGGTATTACAGATACTTTAGAACCTGATAAAACAGGGGTTGGCCTATCTTTTACACAACAAAAGCTAGAAAAAAATGTCTTGGCAGAGTTACAATCTTCCTGTACTAAAAGAATATATAGCAAGACTTAGTGGTACACTCTTCTCCCAGGCCCTCGGCCCTGGCTGTCCATGCCACTGTCCCTTCAGTCCATGCCAGATTAAGTGCATGCCCAGACAATTGGTGCTCTTAGGCTTGCCACCTCACTCCAGCTTTATAGGGTTTCAGGCCTTAATGTGTTGGTTTGACATGCAAAACCATCCTAAGAGGTGTTAGGTTTACCCTTTAGAGTTTGGTTTAGGGAAAAATTCCAGTTCCATGACTCTTTAATCAGAGTTAGAGTTGCATCCTTCTACCAGTCTGCTGATATCAAGGCATTACACAAAGATCTGAGATGAAAAGCCTTAAAATTAGTCCCTATGTGCTAGATGGTCTGAGACTGGTCTGGACTAAAGAGCTGATTTCTGCTCTATGAAATACCCTCCTACACTTGCTGCAAAATATCTGCACAGGTTTAAGCCCTTAACAGTTACAGTAATAAAAAACCCTTATTTTCTAGTGGTGCTTCATATTGATATCCTCAGTTGCTCTGACTTTGCAGAAGTCAGTTTCCCTGGTTTTTGATTTCATTGAACTTTTTCAACAGTGCACACACTGTCAAAAGTCCAGGTAGTTGTTTTCGGTGAAATAAAACGTGAAGATAACTTCAAAGTTAATGTTGATGTCCATTTGCTTCTCATGTCCTGCTCCTTTTTTGCTAACCAGAATTTAAACTTTTAAAATAAATAAATAAAAATCACTTTGTGAAGGTCCAGAGTGTGAGGAAAGGGAGTTCAGCTTTCTTTCCCAACACAATGTTATTATAGTTCTGGCTTGCTCAGCTGAGCTGCAGCTGATGCCAGTTTGAAGCACTATGGTGATATTTTTTGAGGGGGGTCAAGGTGGACCTAGAGGCATCAGGCAGTTCCTTAGCCCTCCTGACAGCTGGGAGGAGGGAAAGAAAATAGGCGACGTGAAATTTCTTACCTCTCTTTAGACTGTGGCTTTGCAAGTTAGCAGGAGTTAGAGGTGAGACTGCCTCCTGGATCCTTCAGCTCCGCAGCTCAGTATGAAACATTTTAGAGCTTTCCAGGATTGGTGAATTGTGTGGAAGTGACAGCCTGTCACCAATGACCCCTCTGCTCCTGCACTGTTCACACCAGTTCTGCTGAGGTGTGTAGTTGGTTTGTGCACCTGCCCTCGCCCTGTCCTGCTGCTGAACTGCAAAACTGCAGACCTGCCACCAGACGAAGCAGTCCGTAGAGATCCTGGCCATAGATCTTACCTTATACAGGACTCTGCTTTATCAAGTGTTTCTGAAATTATGCCTTCTTTTTGTACTTAGGCTCCACCTTTAACACTAAACACATGTTTCCTTGCCCCATTCTTAATATCTCCATGTGTTTGCAGGTGCTTGTTACAATCTATGCAGACTATATTGCACCTTTGTTTGATAAATTCATTCCGCTTCCGGAGGGAGAGCTCAAGCAACAAATTGAAACAATGGCGAAGAGCATTGACTTCCCGTTGACTAAGGTGTATGTTGTTGAAGGTGAGATTTATTCTTTTTTTTAATAAAAAGACTTTATAATTTTGAATTTGTAGGTTTTTTAGTTTTGATTGTGGATGCTGTAGTAGGGCAGTTGCTTGCATTGTTCAGATACTGCAGTAGTTGTCAATGTCTGTAGCATTTTCCTGTTTTTTGCCCTGAGGTCAGAAAAATGAAGCTGAATGTACAGCCTGAACTCAGCCTCTGGTTGGAAGCATTGACCTGGCTCTTGTAGAATGGAAATACATGGCTCAGTCAGGAATGGAAGCAGGAAAGTAGTCAAGATTTCAGTTTTAGAACTGTAAAACAAGGGAAGACCCTTTTTTCCTAGTCTCAGTTTAGCATTAATTGTCTCAAAGTCCTTGGTGAAACAGTTGAAAAAGTCTTGAAAGTTAAAAATGCCTGTTTCTTCCAAAATTGTTCACAGGTATGGTTTCTTATAGTGTGGCTGGATGGACTTACACCTCTGACTTGAGACTAATTTTTTTCACTTTCTAGTACTGAATTTCTTATCTTTTTTTCTTAGGTCATGGAATATGGAATGTGCCAGCTGCCATGTCACTCCTCTCTGCATTTTACTATCTGACATTTCCAGTATTACTCATTTTGCTCCTGTCTGAACTTGATTTCAGGGGTTTTCCAAATTTTCTTTTGGTTTTGTGCTCCACCTGTGAGGCTCAGATGTGTTTTTTACTGACTTGGTAAAATCCATATGAGATGGCATAAAGAGCTAAAATGGTAGAGTTTTGCAGTCAGAGAGGCTGGTGAAGGCTTTATCTAGCCAGGAAGCTGTGATTTTCTAAACTTTGGGCTGGTCAAATCCTGCTGATGCTCTGCCTCAGTGCTGCTGGGAATTACTGATACACTTGGGGCACAGGAAACTCTTCTCTTTTCAGGCAAAGTTGAAGCTTTTCAAGGTTGAGAGTCAGTGCAGAGGTTTTCTCAAATGTACTGCTGGTTCTATCCCAGCTTTTAGCCATGGTGAAAGTCCTGTGAGGCAGTTGTTGGTACTGCAGCCCCTGTGCAGTGTGCTGCATTGGCTTCTCCAGGATGTCTGCTTTAGTGGCAGGGAGGCTGCCGAAACTCCAACCCCACCCTGTTTTTTTTGTGTAGCATCCTTAAGAGCGATGAGACAACAACATTCCTTTCTGACATGGGGGACTGGATTTGTGAACATCTTTTTGCTAGTATTTTTCTGAACTCTGTCTTGGCTCTTCACACTCTGGAACTGACTTCTTGGTAGCATGCCCAACCAAGTCCTGTAATCTCAGGGTTCATTCTGTAAGAGGGAGATTACAAAGGTTCCTTCTCTACCAACACTTAGTGGAGAATGAAGTTTTTTATGATACGCAGGTGAAAGGAAACATTGCTACCCTCTGGCTGTTCTGATTTCTTCACTGAGAAGGGACTGGATACTGAGGGTTCATACTCTGACCAGTCTCTTCCTCTGTCAGTCTGTATTGGTTTGGTGCTGAAGGTCACCATGACCATCCCTAAGGTTGGCTTCCAGTGGAACAGTGGATGTTTTGTTCTCTAAGGGATTTATGCAGCTCATACATTTATAGTGTATCTTATCTTTTACTGCAAAAAAGCTGCACCTCTGCTCTCATAGAGACATCCTTCAGTCCTGGTGTTGCAACAGCTTCTTTCCATAGTCAAAAAAAAACTTTTTAATCAGCTGAAACCATGCACATTCCATGGAAAGAGATGAGTTTCTTGGCCTCAGATGTTTTGATGGTAGAAACAGTCCATGATTGACCTGATCTAGATAAAGGTAGCTGTAAAAAATGACCTGTTTCAAACAAAAATAATGATATTACCTGTAGTTCATCTCTTTATCTTCTCCTTATCCGTTTCTAAAATCTTCATCTTTATCTTTTTCCAATCATCTTTGCTGGCACATTCTAAATTATTTAGCACAGGTTCTTTGCCAGGAGGCAACGTCAATGCAGAACGCTCTTTCCAGTCTAAATCTGAAATTGCAATAGAATTTGCTTTTCTTCTTGGACATTAGATCTTCATGACTGCTCTTACACTTTTAGTGCTTTTTGTGTTACATTTCTCTATTGGAGTCATCATTACTTAGATTTTAAAATATGCTTCTGTCTGCAAACTGATTTGCCTGAGTTTGTGTACTGTTCATTTGGGGACTTTGAGAATTCCTTTGGAGGAGTCTGGTCTGTGTCATGCTGCACAGGCTTTGGTGCAGGGGATTATTCAGATCATGATCTTTAATGTAAATTTTCCCCATCAGGTTCTAAGCGTTCTTCTCATAGCAATGCTTATTTCTATGGATTCTTCAAGAATAAGCGGATAGTGCTCTTTGACACCCTCTTGGAAGACTATTCTGCATTGAACAAAGAACCAGCAGAAGGAGAAGATGGTGAGAATGAAGAAACAAAGTCTAAAACCAAAGTGAGTTTGTCTTTGTTTTTCATCTTGTTATTTACATTAACTTCTTGGTGAGATTCCCTTGTGCTTTCTAATGTATTTTAAAGGTTCTGAGTGAGTTGCTAAAACCCAAACTCTAATGACTTCAACACCAAAATATTCCTGGTTTGCTAATTGGAATTTCTGGGGCTGTTGGAGCATCAAAGAGACTGTAAAATCCATAGAGGCTTTAGCAAAACATGTAAAAACTAGACCTTCCATGTAATTGTTTGAATAAAGGACCTGTTCAGGGTTTTAGTTCATGTTCCCTCTCTTGGAACTGCCGCACTAAAGCTTCCTTTTGCAGGAAATGCTTTTAATTCTCAGTGTGTCATATGTGTGCTTTTTACTGCACGCAGAATTTTTGGTGCAGGAGGAACGCACGTGAGCACACAGAGACAGATTCTACATGTGCATCCTCTCCCACCCTGATCAAGAACAGGATGGTGGCCTGGCATTGGCCTCTCCATCAGGAGCCTGCTCTAACAGCTGGTGTGACCTCAGGAGAGTATGGGGATGGTTAAAGCTGATGGAATACTTTCTGAAGAACCTGAAGGCGTAATTCTGAGAAAAACAAATGACTTGTGCAGCTAAGGTTAGGCCAATGTTTAGATTATTGCTCAGCCCAGCTTCTGTTTCGTGACACCATGTTGGTGGTGGAATTCTCCTTGTCCAGGATTTGGTTTGGCAAAAACTGCAGAAATGGGTGATGAGAGGAGGGGATTTTGAGCTCACCTGGTCTAGTTATAATGACTCATTTTTTCCATTTCAACAGGTTCTTCAGCCCTTGTGCTTGTTTTTGACTTGCTGATGTACCTGCGAAGGTGCAGATGTCCTTCCTAATGATAGCTTTAAGGCATTTCATAGAGTTTTTTGACTAGGGCAGGGATGTTGTCATTCCTTTTTAAAGGAACACTGGTGCCTTGGGAGGAAGGCCACATGTTGAGTGTTGAAGGAAGTAGGGAGAGGGCTTTGCTCTCAGTTCTCTCTGAAAGTCTGCAGCTCTGAATGCCTGCCTCCATTGTACTGCTTTTCTTGAGTAAAGAAACAGGATGAAATCAGGGGATGGTAGGAGAGAGTTTGGAAGGCAAATCTTCCAGTGTTCTTCCAGGTTTTCATCAACATATCTGCATACATAGATATAAGAGACCACCACCTCATGGTAGAAATCTTCCTGAACTTAAAAGGTTATGTTTTTGTAAGTATCTTCATGAAAAAGGCTCAATAAGAAATTATATGTGTGTATCTGGTATTAGAAGGGAATGACCTGATCTAGGGACACTTAAGTGATCAAGTTAAAAACAAACAAGTAAGAAATTTATTCAGTGGTGTTCAGTCATAGCTGATATTACTTCTGCTTTGTTATTCCCTCAGAATAAGAAACAAGGATGTAAAAATGAAGAAGTTCTAGCTGTACTTGGTCATGAATTGGGTCACTGGAAACTAGGTCACACTGTCAAAAATATTATTATCAGCCAGGTAAGTTATTTAAACTGGAGTATTTTGTAGTTATTGCTGTTTCCAAATGCCTGCTTGCTTCTAGATTTGTAAGTGTACATTCAGGTGTACACTGATATGCTCTGTGACAGAAAGTTGGTCTGTTTTTTTTTTCCTTGCTCTACGGTGAATATGCACTCACCTTTCTGTCCCCTCCTTGCTTCATCTGGTTGGTAGGAAGCTTCTCAGAAAGCATGTCTGCTGCCATTTTAATTCATCTGTGCAGCCTTCTGAAGTTGTGTTGTGGTTTAGGAATGGTACTCCCCAATCCAGTGCCCCCACCCACACTTTCCAAACCACACACAGCTCTCTGTCACTCCCTTGTTTTTCCTCTCCTCCTTCCGGCTGCTTCGGGATTGCAGAGGAGATTTGGAAGCACAAAAGGCAAAGATTACAGGTTGAGATAAGAACAATTTATTGAAACAGCAGTGAGATAAGAAAAGGAACAGTAACCAACAATACCAGTGACAGAGGATACAAGAAAAGAAAGAATTCACACAGAAGAAAAACCCAAAACAATAGTAGACAATACTGGGCCACTCCCTCACCAGGTTCTCTTGACTAGAAGAAACCCCTTCTCCTCAGAAGACTCTCCCTTCCCCCCATGTCCAGTGGCAATGATGTGAGGTGGTATAGAATAACCTTTGAGTCCTAGCTGGTGCCCCTTCCTACCTACTATAAAAATTAACCCTTTCCTGGGTGATACCAGGACAAGTTGGGACACATTTTTTTTGCTCTGTAACGCTTGTCTGTTTGAATCTCAGGGACTTCTCTGAAGTTCTGTTTCCATCCCTGTGCTAAGGATAGGCTTAGATGTATATTGACTCCCAGCCTGAGATTTTTAGGTGTTTGTCTTTACCTCTGAGAAAGCTTCACAACATGTGTCTGAGAGCTTCTGTCAGCCTCGTTCCTTGTAAAGCTGAGAAGGAATGTGATTGAGGATTAGGAAATCTGAGACAAGAGGGCATTCTTATTTATATTGTATTCTCATACCTTGTGCATTAATTATTGATAAATAACTTTATTGTGCCATTCTTGGTACTTGCCAAAATGGGGGTGAACAATGAAGTAATCTCCGGTAGACATATGTAATTGCTTTGGTGTAGATCTGTGGTGTTCCAGGTATCACTCAACCTTCTTTTCTCCAAGTTCTCAGCCTTTTCTGTTTTGTTTCTCTTAGCTGCCCTCCAAGCACCTTCTGTAATTCCATCTTTCTTGAGATGCGTGCACCATTCCAGGAGTGCTATTCTGTTCTTTTTCTAAGGTTATTCACAAGCTTTTCAGGCTATAAACATCACCATTAAACCTCCATTTAAGAAAATCTCTCTGTTTTCACATTGGCATTTTCTTACCTGTGCAACTGAACACTTCAGTGAGGCTCTTCTTTCTTTCTTTAAGGCGATTACCTTCCAACTTCTGACATCAGCACTGATCTCTGCTACCAACTGTTACAGTAATTTTGCCACATTCCTTACTCATGTAATTTGTCTTTGGATCCACTTTCTAGATACTACTATTTTGCTGTAATAGGTAGATTTTATCCTCACTTTCAGAAATTTTTCACAAATTCTTCTGCGATGTCTTACACTTTTTCTGTATTGTTTGCTGTCTGTCACAGCCATCCCTCTTTTCTGTTCCCTGTGTTTCAATAACAAAAAGTATTCTGACACCTTTCGCCTTGCTGTAAAAAGACCAAATAGCCGCTTGGATAGATTGAAAAGGTACCGGCTGCCCTCTCTGGAAAACTTGGTAAGGCATGGTCCTGCGGTTTGGCTCTGAAAAGCCAGGCAAACGCAGTGCTCGCACACAGTGCTGCACAGCTTAGATGGAAGCCGAGATTGTTTCCGGGAAAGGAAGTGCAACACAGCACAGACACATTTTGTTTACCTTTAAACTTTTAGAATCTATACTTAATTCCAAGGAGATGGGTTCTATCTTCTACTCCCTCCTCACTTGTCTTCTTATCTTTTCATCTTTCTTCATTACTTAGCCTATTTTTTTGCTCTCTGACTGAAAATAATGGTTCTTTATTGCATGCATTTTCAGAAAGTAGGTAAAGACCAGCTGTTTGTTCCTCTTTGTATATTAGTTCAAAAGTCATTTACAGTGGCATTCCCATTCAAATCTGTAATGTGATATTATGTAGTGTTTAGACTCATCTTAATCAAGAATGTTGTTTCCTTTCTCTAGATGAATTCCTTCCTCTGCTTCTTCTTGTTTGCTGTGCTGATTGGTCGAAAAGAACTCTTTACTGCATTTGGTTTCTATGACACCCAGCCTACCCTGATAGGCTTGATGATTATTTTCCAGTTCATTTTTTCACCTTACAATGAGGTAAATTGTTTTCAAGACATAGACGCTGAAGTATCATCTTATGTAAATAATGATTTTGTTTTGACTGGGAAAGTTTGAAGCTTCTAGCAGCCATATCGGGTGTCTCATTTTAATAATCAGGGCTAGTGCTGCATGTTGAGTCAGACTCTTGGTTTAAGGTGTGGCTTGGATAAACATTAGTGAGATCATTCTAAAGCCACAGCAATGTGTGGGATGTGGAAAGGTAGATATAGTAGTATTTACTGTAAGGAATTTGCAGATAACTGAATTTTAAAATAATTTTTAATACATTTCTCTCCACAGGTTCTCTCATTTTGTTTGACTGTATTAAGCCGACGGTTTGAGTTTCAAGCAGATGCATTTGCCAAGGAACTTGGGAAGGCTAAAGACCTATATTCTGCTTTGATCAAGCTAAACAAAGATAATTTAGGATTCCCTGTTTCTGACTGGATCTTTTCAATGTGGCATTACTCCCACCCACCCCTTTTAGAAAGACTTCAGGCCTTGAAAGATGCAAAGCAAGAGTAACAGGAATCATTGCTGGTTCAGAGACAGTGCTTCCATCTCAGAAGCAAAGTTCAGAGCTGCTTTTTAATTTTTTTTAAAAAATTTATAATGCCAATTAAGTGCACTGTTAACAGCACCACAGATCTGAGAATCCTGAAACAGGTGTTAAATTATAAATTACTTCTTTTTAACAAAAACAAAACTGTGGAACTTAATTTAGGAAAAGTACTGAGTGATGACCTTTACCCTCCTCCCCAATGACTTTTATTCAAAGTATAGACTTTTAAAGGGAGGAAAACAAACGTAGACTTCGAAGCACCTTTTTCTTCAGTTTGTGTATGCCTTGAAAATTGCTTTTGATCCTCTTTCCATTCTCTGCGTTCTGTGAACCTTCCCAGTCTTACTCTCTTCACAGTGAAGAGGCTTTGGGTGACTTGATTTCCTGTATAATGATACTTGTACTCGCCAGTCAGTGTGTTGTGTTTTAAAAAGCTGAATGCAACAGCAGCCTTTCTCCTGGATTCATGTCTGTCATAATGAAAAATGCTACATAATAAAACCTTTCTCTGAAGTGTGGGAAGAAGGATGAATTACAACTGAGGAAATGTACCATGGCTTCCTTGAAAATGAGCACTAGTTGGTATTTAGTAGCATTATAGTGGGATTAGGCTGCTCCTCTTCCTCACTGTGCTGCTGGGGGTGTGGAAGGATGTTACAGGAATGGCATACACATGTTAGAGAAAGGTACTAATTCTCTCTTGTTCTCTCTTTTGCTTGCAAGTGGGATGGTTAACAGCTTTCCCAGACCTCAGGTCCTCCTTTCGGTTCTTCTTTGCCTAGATTTTTTGTGTATATGGAAGTGTCCAGTTACTCAGCAAGTGTATCAGAGCCAAACTTTCATTCTGAGAGGGTTTGTCATCCACTCCATGGACGGTTTTCCATTAATATGAATCCAGTTCAAATAGCAGTGCTGGAATATTTGTTCTTCATAGTTGTTCTTATATATAAAAATTGTTCTTATATATATAAAAAAGCCCAGGAAACAGTTTGCCCACATCAGTTAGTGAAGAATGAAGTGAGTAATTGTGGAAATGGCTTCAGCATTGATTATTTCAGACTTTCCTGATGAAAGGTGCAATTAAATTTACTTTTGTTGAAATAAAGATAAAAGTTAAATATAGGTTTGCATGTGCATACAAATGTTTTGGACCAGCCTGAATGCACATACTTCATATAAAAATTAGGTTTTCTATCTGCAGTAAATTAAAAAGTTTTGCTCAGCTCTGTACAGAGGTCATCAAAGCAAATTGCCGTTGTTTCAGATGTCAGAGTATTCTTAGATCCTTTACTGATAGCTTTGTTTCCTTTTCTGATCATAAGGAAAAATGCCTTTATAAGATGATGGGCATGATGATGTCTCAGATGCAACAAGATGTTGCTGCAAGTCCTTTGTATGCCTTATTTTAATTGTGTTTATACCTGATATGGTTTGAAGCTGGCTCCCTGCCAAGTCTCCAAACCTTACCACCAGAAGTCGTCCCCCCCCCTCAAACCTCAGGGAGAAGAGGGAGAAAGAAAACAACCAACTAAGAAAACCCGAAAGGAGAGAGAGACAGCTAAAGTGATATATATAAATATATTTACACTTATATTACAATTGAAATATATATATAATTTAAAATATATACAATTTCACAAGGGAAGGGGAAGGGGGAAGGGAAAGGGAACAAAACCAAAATAAATATTATATATATATATATATATATATCCCCCAATCAGTAGCCCGAGATCTAGTAACTAAAGAGTTAGCAAAGAAAATATCCCACTACTCTCCTTGGGACAACCGAGAGTCGCTCCGGGACGATCACCGGCAACCTCCGCCTCCCAGGGTCGACAAGGCCTTACCTGGCCTCGCTCCCCAACACGGCAGACTCAACAGCAGGGAACCTGCACCTCCAAGCCACCGGAAGGAAAGAGGGCGAAGGCCTCTCCTCCTTTCTTCTTATAATCTGGCTTACGTAAAAATCGTAGGGAATACTGGGTAAATCTGGACCCTTCCTTGGTTACAAACTGGTCACCAAGGAAGGCCTAGCCCAAACCACCACATTCTCCACCCCTTACTCCATACTATTTTTACGTAACACCTATGTATCACGTTCGCCTACATCCCGCGCATATATATACACATATACATATATAGTCCTTGTTGGTCTCTCAGCACAGTTGTCTCGTCGTTGGAAATCAATACTGACATCAGTTCAATTCAGTCCAGATCTTTGGTCTCCTCAGTCACAATTGCAGTTCTGATTTATGGCTGTTTCATCATTCTGGGCTGTCTCATCACTGGATATCGGCATCAGTTTAGTTCAGGTCTCTCTCTCTCTCATCTGGTGACTGGCTTCCTGTAAAAACACAACTCAGGACATACAATTAGTTTTTCCCCAAGGCTAAATTTCCTTGGGGCACACATTGGATCACTCCATCCTTCCTCATTATCCAGCACGTATGTCCTGGCCCTTGAGCAAAGACAATCCCACAAATGGGTTTGTCTTGGCCTGAGACAGGGGTAACCCAAACAGCTTTCCCTAGCATTCTCCTCAAATGGATTGCTGGAACTTTATCTCCATCAACAATGTGGAGGGATTCTGCTTGTGCAGGGCCAGCTCGATTAACAGAACCCCTGGTGTTAACTAGCCAGGTGGCCTTGGCTAAGTTCTTATCCCAGTTCTTGTAAGTTCCCTCACCTAGTGACTGTAGAGTCGTCTTCAACAGTCCGTTATATCTTTCAACCTTCCCAGCAGCTGGTGCATGATAGGGAATGTGGTACACCCATTCGATACCATGTTCCCTCGCCCAATTGGTGACTAATTCATTTTTAAAATGAGTCCCGTTGTCCGACTCAATACGTTCTGGGGTCCCGTGTCTCCACAGGACTTGCTTTTCAAGGCCCAAAATGGTATTCCGGGCCGTTGCGTGGGGCACTGAAAAAGTCTCTAACCATCCGGTGGTTGCTTCCACCATGATAAGCACATAGCGCTTACCTTGGCGGGTCTGTGGCAGTGTGATATAATCAACCTGCCATGCCTCTCCATTCTTATACTTATCCCATCGTCCACCATACCACAGGGGCTTCAGTCTTTTCGCCTGCTTAATAGCGGCACAAGTCTCACAATCATGGATAACTTCAGAAATTATATCCATGGTTAAATCCACTCCTCGGTCTCGTGCCCATCTGTGGGTGGCATCTCGGCCCTGATGACCAGAAGCATCATGGGCCCATTGAGCTAAGAACAACTCTCCCTTCTGCTGCCAGTCTAGGTCTACTTGTGACACTCCTATCTGTGCAGCTCGGTCCGCTTCTCTGTTGTTATCATGTTCTTCATTAGCTCGCTTCTTGGACACATGGGCATCTACATGGTGGACTCTCACATTCAGACTCTTCGCTCTCGCAGCGATGTCCTGCCACAAGTCAGCAGCCCAGATGGGTTTTCCTCCACGCCTCCAGTTCATCTTCTTCCATCGGTCTAACCATCCCCATAGTGCATTGGCTATCATCCACGAGTCAGTGTAGAGGTAGAGTCTTGGCCATCCTTCTCGTTCAGCAATGTCCAGGGCCAATTGGACGGCTTTGAGTTCTGCAAATTGACTCGACTCACCTTGACCCTCAGCAGCTTCTGCCACTCGTCGGGTGGGACTCCAAACGGCCGCTTTCCACTTCCGGTTCCTTCCTACAATACGGCAAGAACCATCAGTGAAAAGGGCATAACGCCTTTCTTCATCTGGCAGCTGATCAAATGGCGGAGCTTCTTCAGATCGGCTCACTGGCTCTTCTTCTTCTTCTGCCAGACTGAAGTTCCCACTTTCAGGCCAATTTGTGATAACCTCCAGAATTCCAGGGCGATTTGAGCTTCCCAGTCGTACACGCTGCGTAATCAAGGCTATCCACTTGCTCCACGTAGCATCGGTGGCATGATGTGTAGGGGGCACCTTCCCTTTGAACATCCAATTCAGGACTGGTAGTCGGGGTGCTAGGAGAAGCTGTGTTTCAGTGCCAATCACTTCTGAGGCTGCTTGTATGCCTTCATAGGCCACCAGAATTTCCTTTTCCACAGGAGTGTAGTTGGCTTCAGAACCCCTGTAGCTTCGGCTCCAGAAGCCAAGTGGTCGCCCTCGCGTCTCACCAGGCACCTTTTGCCAGAGGCTCCAGGAGGGACCTTTATCTCCAGCTGTAGTGTAAAGTACGTTCTTCACGTCTGGTCCCGTTCGAACTGGTCCAAGAGCCACGGCATGTGCAATCTCTTGTTTGATCTGTTTGAATGCCTGTTGCTGTTCAGGACCCCATTGAAAGGTATTCTTTTTACGGGTCACAAAGTGAAGAGGGCTCACAATCTGGCTATACCCAGGGATGTGCATTCTCCAGAAACCTATGGTCCCCAGGAAAGCCTGCGTCTCCTTCTTGTTGGTCGGTGGAGCCATGGCTACAATCTTATTGATGACATCTGTTGGTATCTGACGTCGTCCATCTTGCCATTTCACCCCTAGGAATTGGATCTCTCTGGCAGGTCCCTTGACCTTATTCTTCTTAATGGCGAAACCGGCATCAAGGAGAATCTGGATGATTTCCTCTCCTTTCTCAAAAACTTCTTCCGCTGTGTCCCCCCATACAATAATGTCATCAATGTACTGGATATGTTCTGGGGCCTTGCCCTTCTCCAGTGTGGCCTGAATCAGTCCATGGCAGATTGTTGGACTGTGCTTCCACCCCTGGGGCAGTCGGTTCCACGTGTACTGCACACCTCTCCACGTGAAAGCAAACTGCGTCCTGCACTCTGCTGCTAAGGGAATGGAGAAAAATGCATTGGCGATGTCGATGGTAGCATACCACTTTGCTGTCTTAGACTCCAGCTCGTATTGGAGCTCTAACATGTCTGGTACAGCAGCACTCAATGGTGGCGTGACTTCATTCAAGCCACGATAGTCCACCGTCAGTCTCCATTCACCATCTGACTTATGTACAGGCCAAATGGGGCTATTGAAGGGTGAGTGTGTTCTACTAACCACCCCTTGGCTTTCCAGCTTGCGGATCACCTTATGGATTGGGATCACAGCATCTCGATTCGTCCGGTACTGTCGCCTATGCACTGTCTTAGTGGCTGTTGGCACTCGCTGGTCCTCAACTTGCAGTAATCCTACAACAGAAGGATCTTCTGAGAGGCCGGGCAGGGCAGATAATCGTTTGGATTCCTCTTCAGTCACCGCGGCTATACCAAAAGCCCATCGGTACCCCTTCGGGTCTTTGAAGTATCCTCTCCTGAGGTAATCCATGCCCAGAATGCAAGGGGCTTCTGGCCCTGTCACAATGGAATGTTTTTCCCATTGGTCTCCTGTCAGGCTTATTTCAGCCTCTACCACTGACAGCTCTTGAGACCCTCCTGTCACCCCAGAAATTGAAACAGTCTCTGTGCTCACATGTCCTGAGGGCATTAACGTACACTGTGCGCCGGTATCTATTAAAGCTTGGTATCTCTGAGGATCCAATGTGCCAGGCCATCGAACCCACACAGTCCAGTAAACTCTGTTATCTTTCTCGTCCCTCTCCTTCTCCTGGCAGAAGGCAGGGCCCCTCTATTGGTTCTGGTCAGAGCATTCACCATCAGATCTTTGCTTCGGCTTGTCAGAGGCTTTCTTGTCATCCTGGAAACGGACTCCAGACCCCCTGCGTCTAGGGAATCTCAGTTCTCTTTCAAAGAAATCTGCATCTACTACGTAGACAACTTTCTTATCGGCTTCCTTGCGTTTTAGTTCTCTCACTCTGGCCTCAAGTCTGGAAGTAGGTTCACCATCCCAGTTCCTCATGTTTTCTCCATGGCCGCGCAGATAGGACCACAGTTCACTGCACTTAGATCTACGCTTAGGGTTTTCGCTCCTTCTGCGTGTGACGGAAGGAGATCGTGAGCGGGACCGGGACCAAGATCGAGATTGTGGTCGAGACCGAGACCGGTCTGCTGATCTATCTCTGTAGCGTCTGTCCCTGTGGTCTCCGTAGTCATCTTCATAATCAGAGCGCCTGTAAGGCTCATCTCTCTCAAGTCTTTGTCTGTAACCAGAATCAGAATAGTCTCTAGAAAACTCATTCCTAGATTCTACTGTTTCTTTTAGATGTCGCAGAACCGTACACAGCATGCTCACAGGCGTTTCTGGCATGTTTGGAAGCATTACTCCTGCCAAGGTATGGACATATGATGCAGGAGCACCCTGGATTATCTTCTTCCACATGGGCATTGTGCAAGCGATAACCTCTGGGTCATCAGTGACGGGATCGTATTGAGGGTCATCATACATAAGTTCCAGCAATGCCAATTCTCTTAGGTACTGGATGGCATCTTCTATCTTGGTCCACCTCCTCATGGGGCACGGTAAATAGTCTTTAAATGGAAACCTTTGTCTCACACTTAAGACAAGTCGCGCCCAAAGACTGAGGTCGGGTTTCTCCTCTGCAATTAAGCGATCAAGTTCACGGTCTCCAGAGATGGAAGTTAGTTGTTCTGCTTCAGCAGTTGACAATATGTGACCTCTAACCCCACGGTCTCGGCATCGGAGCAACCATGATAGAATTCGCTCACCAGGCTGACGAGTGTAATCTTTTTGTAAGTCCCAGAGTTCTGATGGGGTCATTGACCGCAACTCTGTAGTTTCCATTTTTGGGGGTGGTGCTGCTCGTGGAGGTGGAGTTCTGGCACTGGCATCAGTATCAGTCCCCTCTCCGTTATCTTCTGACCTGTTCTGCTCTCCATCTGGTCATAGGCTTTAAGTTTTGGGCGCCGGTACCCATGACTTCCTTTTCACTACAGGGGCGAGAGGTATCTCAGGTGGTGTAGTCTGGGTTCCGTTTTCAGTGCGTGTAGTAGAGCTGGCATTGGTCTCAGGTGGCAGGGTTTGAGTTTCCACCTCAGCCTTAGTCTTCCGAGCATAGTCCACAGCAGATTGATAGGCACTCGCCAGGCCCCAGTACAAAGCAAAAAACTGCATATTTGGGTCCTCGTAAGATAAACACCCTTCTGCCAGATGACGTGCCACCTCATCAGGATCAAACACCTGCTCTGGTGTGAAATCCCAACTAATGGGAGGTGTCACGCGCCCTGCCAATTTACCAAAGTTGACCCAAATTCCTTGCCATCCAGGGACTGGTTTTCTCAAGGCCCTTCCCAAAGTTCCAGCAAATCCCTTTGAGTTTTGGCGTTTCCTGCAACAAGAAAAGCAGTACCGCACCACCTTTCCAATATTAAACACCACTTCCATGGCTTTTAGGAATAGTATAACTGTTGCCAAACAATTTATGTAAGGATTGGGGCCAATTTTGATTCCAGGGACCTCAGCCACTAGGCCTTATTATAGGCTAATACAAATACAGAGCTAAACTATAAATATGGATTTAGGATTTGGTTTTACGAATATGGAGAGCCTATATTTCTCATGTTAACTGCATTTAATAAATGGCCCTCAAAAATAAAAGGATTAACTTGAATTTGTCAATTCAGAAAAATAAATGTGTCAAGTTTTGAATGAGATGTTGGCTGGTCTAAAGCTATGGAAAACATGTTAAATGTGCTCTGAGAAAACCATTTGTCTCATCCATTAGGTAAAAATTATACACAAAAATTAATTTTGTGGCTATTTCAGAAATTTGGCTAAACACAAATAAAAGGGAGACTAAAATGGGTAGGTGAAGGAAATGCTAGTACCTATGGAAGCATGAAATACTTGGCTTACAGGCGAAGATAGCATTCTTGCGGCAATTGCCTGTTACTTCCTTTTCTTCCCTGTCACTATTTGGAGTTGATCTCTGCAGTTCTCGTAGCTGGATTTCATATCTACCTCCTGAACAAGAGTTTGGGTTGGTTCCATTCTGCTCCAGTCACTTCTCAGCACTGGAACTGTCAGTGTGTGCTGCTGACCTTCTGCCTGCTCACATTACTGCTGGGCAGACATCTGGAACACATCATCTACACCTCTAGTTGCTTCCTGGCTTCCTGAGAATGGTTGAAATCACACCTGAATCTTCCTGTGCAGCTTTTGCCTTCCCAGGTACATCAATCCTCCTATAGTGTCTACACAGCCGTGTGATCAGCCAATACAAACCAGCTTCATGACAAGGTAGGTCTGCTTGGACCAGCCACTATTCCTTCCAAGGAATGATCAGTTTTAAAGAGAGAGGCAAGAAAATTACCTGTTATCTTTAGCAAACCAAGAGCAGAACATCTCTGGCAGTACTCTCCTCAAAGGCATCTGTGGGGCTGCTGGGCATTGATCAGCAGTGTCCTGCCCAAAGGCTGGAGATCCAGTTTCCCATTCCCACCTCACCAGCCTTTACTACTTGTTTAAGTAGAAACTTGAGAGAGGACATGCTTTGTGGATGTGAAGCTTGGTAGGTCTTGGCAATGTGTACTGGCAGCCCAGAAACCCCCCGTGTTCTGGGCTGATCCCCAGCAGCCCAGGCAGCAGAGCAAGGGAGGGAATTCTGCCCCTCTGCTCTGCTCAGGTGAGACCTCACCTGCAGTGCTGCCTCCAGCTCTTGGTTCGTGAATATAAGACACGGACCTGCTGGAACGCGTCTGGAGGAGAGCACAGAGATGTTCCGAGGGCTAGAGCCCCTCTGCTCTGGAGCCAGGCTGGGAGAGCTGGGAGTGTTCAACCTGGAGAAAAGGCAGCTCTGGAGAGACCTTAGAGCCCCTTCCAGTCCCTAAAGGGGCTCCAGGAGAGCTGAAGAGGGACTTGGGATGAGGGCCAGGAGTGACAGGACAAGGGGAAATGGCTTTAAGCTGAAGGAAGGTAGATTTAGATCAGATATTAAGAACAAATTCTTTAGTGGGGCTCAACTGGCAAAGGTTTCCCAGTGAAGCTGTGGCTGCCCCATCCCTTGAAGTGTTCAAGGCCAGACTGGATGGGGCTTGGAGGAACCTGATCTAGTGGAAGGTGTTCCTGCCCATGCTTTAAGATGAGCTTCCCTGCCGACCCAAACCAGTCTATAATTCTATGATGAAACAGGCACAAACGTCTCCCTTTCAACTGTCTTGACGTGTTTCAAGGGCCTCCATGTGCTCACACAGGACTGCTGTGGCCGCAGGGCTCCTTGCTGCTCTTAGCCGCCAGGAGGTCCTGCTGCTGTGAGCAGGCAGGGGACCGGTGGGGGAGCTGCGTGTGCGGGGCAGGGTGTGCGGGAGCGGAAGCGCTGAGGGCCCGCTGGGGCCGCGCTGGGGCCGACGGGGGGTGACACTGCGCAGGCCGCAGGCGGCGCTGTGCGCGCGGAGCCCGGATGTGACGTCCGGGACAGGCCTTGTCGGGCGGCCCTTTGTGCGGTCGGGACGATGCTGGCGGCGGGCGGCAAGAAGGGTGCGGAGGCGGCGGCGGGCGGCGAGGCCGGGCCGGAGGCGCCGGTGCCCCCGCCCGCCGCCGCGGGGGCTCTGGGCTCCTCTTCCGATAGCGGCGGGGCTGCGGAGCGCACGCCCCGCAAGAAGGAGCCTCCGCGGGCCTCGCCCCCGGGCGGTGTGTCCGAGCCGTCGGCCGCCGGGGCCGCCCCTGCTCCCGGCGGCGAAACCACCGGCATCGCCGAGACCCCCGAGGGCCGCAGGACCAGCCGCCGCAAGCGGGCTAAAGTAGGTCTGGGGTGCTCCGGCTGCGGGCCCTGCTGGCGCAGAGCCGCGACCGGAGGCGGGGCTCGGCCCTGCTCGGGGTAGCGCTGCCCCCGGGACCGGGTCCGGCGCGGGGCTGAGCACGGGCCCGGGCGCTGCCGGCGGGGGCGGGCCTGTGCCCGAGAGGCTTCGGGGACGTGAGTTCGAAGGATAAACACACGGGCGCCCAAGAAGGCAGTGCGGGTCTATGGCGTGACACGGTGCATGTCACAAAGGAGAGCATTCTGCAGCAGCCCAGGAACTTTTTGGGGTTCCTGATCGGATACCGAGCAGTAAAAATACTCCAAGTCCCTGACAGTGCATCGGAATGCTCATGAGCTTGATTTCATCAGTACATTCTTGTCGTTGGAGTATAGAGATGCAGATTCTCTTGAGGCTCATGTTCACGGGACTGCGCTGATTTTGCAAGGTTGTGAAGGTGATGGCCACGCTCAGTCCACTGTTCCTCACCTTCCCTCTGTTGGCTTTGGTGAACTGAGTCAATGCTGAGACTTAGCACTGAAATCTAAAGGCCATAAAGAGTCTCCAGTAATTTGGGTCTGTTATCTTTTTTTTGTGAAACTTTTTCTTTGAAACCTTGTTTCAGAAGATGTTGAAGATCTTGGCTGTGCCCACAGCTGGGGTGTTTGGCTGGGAAGCTGAAATTACTTTTCGGAACTGTTTTGTCCTGTGGCTGTGGCATTGAATGTCTAGCTTTTCAGAACCATTATGTGATGTGATAGCTGGTCATTTGCATACAGGAGCTGCTGGGTAGGTCAGTCTGGTACATCTTTTAAATTGAAAGAAGATAGATGTAGATTGGACATAAGGAAGATATTTTTTACTGTGAGGGTGGTGTTGGGCAGAGAAGCTGTGGCTACCCTATCCCTGGAAGTGTTCAAGGCCGGGTTGGACGGGGCTTGAAGCAACCTGGTCTAGTGAAAGGTGTCCTTGCACATGGCAGGGGGGCTGGAATGGGATGTTTTGAAGGTCCCTTCCATCCCAAACCATTCTGTGATTCTGTGATCTTCAGAAGCAGCATTCCTGCTTTATAGTGGTCTGTTAACAAGTAGGAATTAGTGCTCTATGTGGGTTGTGTGTTGATGATGTTTCTCTGCACTGACAGTACTTGTCTGCAAAGGGTTGTTCATCTCTTATGACATCCTCTGTCCCCATGAGCACTTCAGCCCAACATTAGATTGCCTTACCGTGAATGTTTGTGGAGTGAATTTAGTTGGGGGAGGTTAAAAATAAACCTAGGGAAAAGCTTAGGGTTTTTATGGGACTCGATTGTTCTTGGAAAGCTCTGTGAACTCAGGGGGAATGGGAGACTTCTGAGGGCACACGTGGCTTCAGATACCGGTGGTAATGTACGGTCGTGCTGGAGGGTCACTGAAACTTGCTTCAGAGTGGGAGTTTGCAGAATGTCCTGGTGGCGCAACATTCGCTCAACAGTGGGAAAAACTAAATATGCTGGAGATTGTGGAATGTAAATATTTAAAGGAAAGCAGATCGTGGTGTGTGTTAGTGTTTTACTGAATCCAGGATTTCCTATACAGAGGCTTCCCGGTGAAACACAGTTGTGTTTTGAATTGGTACCTGTTACTGCCCTTTCTGAATGATTGAACTTGAGCTATGAAAGATTTTTTGTTCTTTTAATGAGAAATGCAGAGTTGCTTTTGTCATTTCATGGTGAAAGCTGACCTGTCAGATGTTGGAGGGTCACTAGCTACTTTCTTTTTATTTTTCCCATGGCTGCATGTCAAGAAGTGCTTTTTTCCTTTCCAGTAGATAGGGCTATTCAATAGCATTGTACAAAGCTTTCTTACTTTGGAATTCGTTTTATTAAACGGTAAGAGATGCATCCCTTCCAGGCTATTCTTGAGGTTTCCGTGTTCCTTTAAGTTGGAGCAGCGTCTTTTTGGCTGGTAATATTATTTATTTTTACTGGAAAACAGTACAAAACATACATGGCAATAAAGATGGATGGGAGCAGGGCATCGTTCTGGTGTTAAGCCAGTAGTGTGACTGTCCTGGAAAGGAGGCATCCGTGAGCCTCTGTACCAGGACAAGATTCCCAGGAGACGGTACAGGACACAGATGGGATTTCCTCAGGAAATCTTATGTATGGTTCTGATCACCCATGTTTGGCAGATAAAGTCAAGTTGGAACATAGGGACACAGAGGCAACTTGTTATCCCCAGGTTTGACAGGGACATGAAGGAAGGAAAGAAAAGTAGTCGAGGTTAAATGATGATACAACAAATACACGTAAACTGGGCTTCATATAAGTAGAAAGCTTCCACTATTGGGTGCTGGAGACACTTTTTTTAGGTGGAGGTGAAAACATGGGGAACTTGTTAAGCTTTGTTGCATTTTATAACATGGTATCTGTAATAAGACTGCATGAAGTAACACAAGCCTTCTCTTTGAACTGTAAGCAATTTTGTTATTTGCAATGTCCATTTTTGTAGTCCAGCTTACAGACATCTTCAGTGCGTTTATTCTCTGTTGTGCTTTTTACAGGTGGAGTATAGAGAAATGGATGAGAGTCTTGCAAACCTGTCAGAAGATGAGTATTACTCTGAAGAAGAGAGAAATGCTAAAGCTGAGAAAGAGAAAAAACTACCTCCACCACCTCCACCAGCTCCTGCAGAAGAAGAGAATGAAAGTGAGCCGGAGGAGCCATCTGGTGAGTAAAGAGAGACCTCTTTTGACACTACTTACCTAGTTTATTAACAGAAATGTAGCAGGGCCAGGTGTGGCATCATGAATTTCATGTGTGGGTTTGATCTGGTTTCAAATTATTCTACAGTGTTTTATTTACTTGCCCCATTCTCCTGAGGGGAAAAAGTCAAAAGAGCAGTCTGAAAAAGTTGAGAATATGCATGAATCTAATTCCAAATGAAGCCAGACTTCTCGTGCTAGATTCTCATGATCCTTACTGACTTGTCTTTGGAAGCTTATTGACCAGAGTAGCCTCTTTGGCTCTCTGCTGCCACACCTGCTCATGTAGCAACATTCACTTGCTCCTCTGAAAGAGAAAAAGTTGAGTTTATGGGGGGAGATTCTATGCAGAAGAATGAATTTAAATACTGTGATTCCTGTAGCTTTAAACTGTAGCTCTAATCTTAAGTTCTGGTTGAATACTGTTCGCTTAAACTTCAGTGTTTTCCTCATTATCTTTGACAGAGCTTCACTTTACAATGAAAAGTTTCTTAGATAGGAGGCAGCTTTCAAAATTTGTGGTAGTAGCAATACCCTATCTCTTTACCTCTGTTGTGTTTACAGCTCCCATCATTAGCGAGGTCTGGTGATGGGGCATCACTCAGGTGTCTACAAGATGGTGCTTTTACAAAGTTTGGAGTTCAAGATTTTATGAGATAAAATGTGTACTAGTTGTTTTGGATAAGAGCTGAAGTCTACTAGTAGTTGAGTCTTTGCTGATTCATCACCTATGTGAATTACTGCTAGTCTTCCATGGCACTCCCTTAATTTTCTTTTTATCTGGCAGGTTTGAGAATGTAGGCAATAGGACTAATGTCAGCTTGGGGATACCTACCTTTAGTTGCAGAAAAATTATTAAAAGCCCCAGTTGTGTTTTATCTCTTAGGATTTTCCCTTGTAACCTTTCCTTGTTGCAGCTGTTAGCTCCTGCCTTGATACAAGAATACTATTATAGCTGATATGCTTGACTAAAATATTTGCAATGATAAAAAACCTCCTTCCTCAG